TGTTTATAGTGTATGGTAAACCCTGTCTGTCTACAGCACAGATCACTGAACTATATAACAAGGAGTTAAATCTGTAATTTGATAAGTTTGAGGTCAGGTGATGAATCAAGCCATGTTTCAGGATGCTGGTGTGCCGATGCGTACTCCAGTGGATGCCTGCATCCGACCTTGGGTATCGCCATTGAGACAGTGGCTGGAGTACATTAAGAACCCATCAAATTACTTAAAGTATTGGCTTTCGTGGTGGGTTTTTATTAAACCTTAAGACTGTGTGAGGAAGTTGAACATCAAGTATACAGGCTAATATCCAGTACTAAATGCTCTTTTTTTTGGTTTACATTAACAACATTAACAATGTTTACAGAATCTGAAGACAGATGCATTTGTTTCTCTTATATATGGTAAAATGCTCAAATATTTTAACGTATGATTAGTAATTACTGGATGTATCAGAAAACCGGTATAGTCTTGTAGCCAATTTGCAATGGCACAGTGGTGACTACAAGACATTTGTTTCAATCTTGTAGATGTATCTTTAGCTATGATACGAACAGATTGTGCATTCTTTGCCCTAATCTCAGCTCATAATATATAAACTATTGGTTTTTGTATGAAGAATATCGCTTATATCTATAAGTGATCACAGAATTAAAATCGTATTTTACTTACCACAACATTAACGTATGTTCCTTCAAATCAGCTTATTTAAATGACTGCGCAAAGCAGAACTTTACTCCATCGTTTACACATTTCAGCCACTAAACACTAGATGAATTTATTTATTATATGTTGGGCAGGTGATATTTTTGCTTCACTTGTTTCTTGACTTCTGGTGCAGGTGAGATGTTACTGTTTAGTAACTGAGGGAGGTACTGAGCCTAGAGAGTGAAAGAGAGAAGGAAACAATGTATTAGGATAATGCCTTGTCAGCCTGTGTAGAGTTACATTCACCGGTTTAAGGACGGACATTTGGAGCTGTAGCAGTGTGGACAATCTCTTTGGGCTTTGGATCATTTTCTTGCACGATTAAACCCCTGTGTGTCACACTGACCCCAGCCTGTCTGCGGCGGGAGCCTCTGTCATGTCGTCTTCCTAGGCGCTCCCCCTCACGGCCATAGTTGAGTCCTCCTTCCTCCTGGAAGTAAGGCAGCTCTAGCAGCTCTTCACAGGACAGGCGCAAAGAAGGATCCATCACCAGGGATGACTGTTAACACAGAGACTTAGCATGAAGCAAAGGCTTTTCAAAATATGTGGACAAACACTGACTCGCTTATACTGGCTGGGCCTGGAGGACTGATTTGGTTAAAAATTGTCTTTGACAAATTGTCCAGTAGCATTAATCATGATGCTGTATCAGCCAGTCTGTATTACACTAAATATACCTTCATAACCTGAAGGGCATGGGGAGACACTCCATGGAAGCGCTTTTCCAAAGGTTCCTATAGCAAAAAAAAAAAAAAGTATATAACCCCATTCATTGTGACTTCATTATGAACACAGATTTGGTTTTAATAGTTTTCATACCATTGTATCAGGCTCAGGAATGCTAACTCCACTGAAGAAAACATTGGAGCGGAAGACCTGCTGGTGATGGGGGATCAGGTCACCTACGGTCAGAAATTAGATTATTAACCCAGCCTGTCTGTGAAAAGTTTCTTGTTATCTGAGGGTGTGTTCGGACTTAGACCAGTTTAGCTCAGTTCACACAAAATAGCAATTTGCATGCAATGGGTGCAATGAGCTAACAATACTGTGAAAAAATTTCAAGCAACTATATTAAGAGGAAACCGCTCCTATTTTGAGCAACTAGTTCAGTTTCTCTAGTTAAAAAAAAGCTACCAGACTGTCTGACAGAAGACAGTTCTCCTGATTGTAGATGTAAATTTATGCTGATGTTACATGCAGTGTCATTAGTGTTTCAAACAGCTCTTCAGTCTACCCAGAGTTTTCCTGATGAGGTAGAGCTGGTCAACGTCAGACTTCCCGGGCCAAAGTGGGTTCCCATTGAGGAGCTCGGCAAAGACACAGCCCAAAGCCCACACGTCAACAGGAGGCCCGTACTGAGTATCCCCGACCAGCAGCTCAGGAGCCCGGTACCAGCGGGTTGCTACATAGTCTGTATAGTCATCCTCTGGTCCCGCTAGTATACCAACACAAATACACATGGTGACAACTTATACACATAAACATTAATATACTGAATAATGCACACTAAATAACACATGCATAATTGAGGGAGGGATTACAAGACATGGTGAAAGATTACATGTTAATGTATGGTAACATGACACTGAAACGTTACGCAGCAGGGGTAAAGAGAGACTGACAGTGAAATGACACTGTACAATGCATTTGCTGGAACTCTATAAGTGAGGTGGCCATGAGCAGGGCTGACATATAGGATCTGTGTTGAATAAGTCATTACAGACAAATTAACACTCTTCCTTGAATGACCTACTCAGAATACGGGCGAAGCCAAAGTCACAAAGCTTGATGACTCCGGTTTTAGTGAGGAGGATGTTCTCTGGCTTTACATCACGGTGAATGCACTGTGAGACAAACAGTCATTATCAGGGATTTAGGCAACATGATATACAGTCTCTTTGTGTCAGAGCCACAAGCTTATGTTAAGGCTGGCAAATTAAAAATGAATGGGGAAGAACAAGAGCAAGAGATTAGAAACCTTCGCACTTTTAACTTAATACTGTATGGCGAAGAGTTTATTTTACTTTTTATTTACCAGATAGATAGATAGATAAGCATAGGCAGTCTATCTATCTATCTATCTATATGTGTATGTGTGTGTGTGTGTGTGTGTGTGTGTCTGTGTGTATAGGAGGGAGCAATAAGGCAAACTGCTCCCCCTACAGGCACCAACTAGTTTTACAGACTGACATTTCAGAAGGGAACCTATTATGACGTGTAACAAACATTGCAATAAAAGCTTTGAGAGCATTAAAAATGACTATGAAATAGTATATTTGCTACAATGATGCACAAAAAGGTGCTTATATAGTCAGTAGTTAGATTTAGATACAAAATTAAGCAGAACTGTGTATCATAAAGAGCAATATATAACATTTAAAAACAGATATAAATGTTTGGCAAATAACAATCACTGAAAAAATATATTTAAAAAATGAATATGTTACGGATATCAGATAATTTAACTTATAAAATAACTATATACGTGAGATTTTGCTGAATAAAAAACAAAAAACACAAACAAAAAAAACAACAACAAAACAGCATTTTTATATTAATCAAATCAATAAAGACTTGGTTTGATTAATATAAAAAGGAATGCGTCAAACATCCTCCACAGTAAGTCATTTGCTACTAAGTCAAATGCCAGTACAGAGGAAAGGAAGTATTACAGCAATGAGCAATTTAACAAAAATAAGGCATGTGCTCACCTGCATCAGATAAATATATGCAAATCATTTAGATGAAGTGCAACATATAATAAAATATACTGACATTGTGTTTGTGGCAGAAGCTGACAGCCTGCAGAGTCTGCCATACTATACTTTTCAGCTGAGCCTCAGGTACCCTAGAGACAACAAGAGACAAAAGGAAGGAAAAACAGACAAACTATTTACAAATTACAATGTCCTCATCTGTCATTCCAGCCATTTCAATAAAAGAAGTGGTGTTTTACTCGGCCCTGCGGTCACCCGGGTAATCCTAGGCCTGTCTTTAAAAGCAGCAGCGCCTTTGTTTTCAAGACCAGCTAGAGTTTCTGCTGCACAGTCTCGTGGGAAAAAGAAAAATGGTAAGACAACAGATAGCCATTGTGGTTTACGTGAGTTCACGTGACAAAAGCTAAACTAATCTTGGCTTGTGACCATACATTGCTCAAAGTGCAGAGAAAAGACAAGAGCTATTTTTTCCTACTTTTTGATCCTTCGTGTTAAGACGGCCTATTATGCCCTCATTCTACTGCCAGCATTTTCTGTCACCAGAATTTCTTAGCTACAGTCTTGCTCCCTCTTTCTAATTCACCCTGTTCCTTTCTTCTGTCATTCTCCTGTTAGAAATACCAAATACTTCTTTGGCAAACTATTTGCCAAATAGATGACTCCTTAAACCCAATTCCTTAGTTATAATGTTACTTTATCAACACATCTGGAGGTTGAAGTGAATGATTATTTTAATTTCCAAGTATGTTACTACTAATACTTCAGCAGCTCTACTACAACAAACATAATCACTAATCCCAAACTGGCAAAGAGTGAACAGATGTTTTAAAAAGTTCATTTGTCCCATGCTGTTCCTGTGCTGCTTTGACTTACCCTCGGGGATGTTTGTCAAGCTCATTTAGGACTGTCTGTTCACAGAACTCAAACACCAAGTGGAGTCGCCTTTTCCTCCTGAACACCTCGAGCAGGTTGACCAAATTCACGTGTTTGAGTTGCTAAAAGACGAGCACACGTCACAGACACTTCAGTGTCAGTGCTTCACAGCCTGACAAGTTTGAAAAAGGGATTTTTTTTTGTTAAACCCTTTCATCAATTCATGTAGCATGGAGTTGTAGCTTGTGCAACAGCATGCACGTGTGTGCGTGTGTGCAAGTGTACACGTGTGGTGTGACATGTGGAAAACTTGATACCAGAACTAATGTCTTCTCACCTTCAGCATACGTATTTCTCGCAATGCAATCTTCTTAATAACTGGATCGTCTTCAGACTCCACAAACTTCTTGATGGCGACTATTTGGCCAGTATCTCTGTGCCTGCATTTGAACACCACACCGTAGGAACCCTCACCAATTTTGGACAGCTTTTCGTATTTCTCCATTATGGCAGCTGAAAACTGTCACCTGTCAAAAAATAAATGTTCCCCATTTTATTTAAAATCGCTATCGGTGCTATACTTCACCAGTTTTCACTGCAATCTTTCATTACTGGGGATATTTTTTAAAGGTGGGCTCAAATAAAAGTCACAGGGCAAGATATGTGTGTTTGAGGACAAGATTAACTCACGGAGACGTAACCGTTTTCAACGTCTGAGAGGCACACAGGTCCAGAATCTGTCTTTATGTCAGTAGTGAGTCCATCAAACGTCCGCAAAGCTACAAAGAATAGCCATCTCTGGTATTACCTGTCAGGCTCCTTGGTCTTGAATTTACTAATGTCACACTAAAGAGGACTCTCACCTTCTCGCTTTTACTGCTATTTGCTGTTTCCCCTCCCGATGCGTCGTCACCACCTTGGTAACCCCACAGGTATTATTTCCAATCGGCACAGTCCACTAACTCAGTGCGAGTCATTTTGAACGCAGTGTCCCTTTAAAACGACGCCTCGGAAACGTGTCGACACAGAAATAATACTTCTATAAACTCACCTTTTACCTTACTTGTGGCAAAATGCACAAAAAGGGCAGAAATGCGTCCCAAACACAGAACATCAATTCACAAAGCCGCCTGCGTAAGACACGCACGTATACACTTTCGTTGTAACCATGGAGACAGGGGACACTAGCCTAAGAGAAGAAGAAGCACGTTGAGGTAGTAGCAAAAAGTTAATGAGTAGTTTAAATATGTATTGTATGGCACATTTCTGGTGCATTTTGAAGATACAAAAAGGAACTTAACAACAAAAACCCCAAAAAAACTTTATTAGGCACACTTGCTAAAGTTCTAATGTGATTAGCAGCAATCCATTGCATTTAGGCATGGAGACATAAGTAAAATCTGATATGTTGAAGTTCAAATTGAGGATCAGAATGGAGAAGAAACGTTATTTAAGTGCCTTTGAACATAGCATGATTGCTGGTGGCAGATGGCCTGATTTCAAAAAGTATTTCAAAAAGTGATCATTTGCTGGGATATTTCTACAAAACCATCCGCTGAGTTTACAAAGACTGGTCCAAAAGAAATAATGTATCCAACAGACTACAGTTCTCTGGGAAATGCAACAGTAACTCAAACAACCACTTGTCACAACCAAGGTATGCATAAGAGCAAATCTGAATGCACAATCCTTGAACCTTGAAGCAGATTGGCTGCAGAAGACTACACTTAGAGCTAGTCCTGTAGGCTAAGAGCAGGAAAATGAGGGTACAATTTTCTGCAATTGGAAAGTTATAAAAAACATTGCCTGTTCTCACCAGTCTTGATTTCTGCTGGAACATGCAGGTGAAAGGGTCTGCATATATAACATGAAAGCATGGTTCCATCCTGCCTTTTACCAGTGGGTCAGGCTGCTGATGTAAAAGTGTGTGGGGATTATTTCTTGTGACACTTTATTCCCCTTAGAAGAATTGAGCATAATTTAAACACCACATCCTACTTCACAATTGTTGCTTCAAGTAAGAACCTTCACCATGTCCATCCATCTATACCAGGGGTGGGCAACTTCAGGCCTCGAGGGCTGGTGTCCTGCAGGTTTTAGATCTCACCATGGGTCAACACACCTGAATCAAGTGATTAGTTCATTACCAGGCCTCTGGAGAACTTCTAGACATGTTGAGGAGGTCATTTAGCCATTTAAATCAGCTGTGTTGGATCAAGGACACATCTAAAAGCTGCAGGACACTTGCCCTCGAGGCCTGGAGTTGCCCACCCCTGATCTATACCTACGTCCCAATCCAACAGTGCAGCTTTGGGATGTGATGGAACAGGAGATTTGCATCATGGATGTGCAGCCAAGAAAGCTGCAGCAACTGTGTGACGTTATCATGTAAATATGGGCCAAAACCTCTAAGGAATGCTTCCAGTACCTCGTTAAATCTGCGCAACAAAGAATGAAGGCAATTCAGAAAGCAAATGAGGTCCAACCCAGTGCTAGAAAAGTGTACAATAATAACCCCAAGACTTGTGACAGCTAAAATTAATTTCCTCTAATTAAGCTTTAGATCACACAATCAGCAACACCCAGTCAGCATCTATAATATGATTTATTATAAAACGTTTAGCATAAAAACGAATGACCTCAGCTTTGAGAGTAAAAGCTGTTATCCAAATCAAATCCCAGAGCAAACTTCATGCCAGTTCTCAATATTGTCATCAGTTGGAAAGACCTTTGTAAGACCTTACAACATCTGATGTGGTGATATGATTCATATACTATCTGTTCTCTCTGTTGACTGTGAATCTCACTTCTTTCAGAGACTTCAGTGTTTACCACAGCTGTGTGGGATCTTTAGCAGAATAACACAGAGAATCATTTAGCTCTTCAATGGGAATGATGGGAAAGCAGTCCAAGTTGCACTCTTGTGCTCAGAGACACACAGACACCTTGAGGTACTGCCATGCGGGCTATGTGGTGACAGGTATGAAATGCCCCATGGCAGACTGGTCAGACAGGATGGCTGTGCAGTGTCAGTAAGAGATGGATGCCATCTTCTTAAGCACTTATGTAACTGAGATTTCTTGCTACAGCAAACTTTCACACAACTTCTATTCAGAGGTTTCCTAAAACACTCCATCCACTGTGACACTCTTAATTGTATTACAGAATACACATCCAGTTAAAAGCATGACGACATAAAAGGTCTTTTTTAGCCATTATAAAACAGTCTGTCTCGTTTGTCTTCAACCGCACTTCTTCTGGATTTGCGTGTTTATTAGGTCTGCTTCTTAATGCTGTGTGTAAGATTTTTTTCCTCTTGTAATTTTCAATGGTTACTCTTGTCTATCTTGTTTTCCTGTTGTTAAAACAGCAGTATACATTTGTAATTGATATTTTTTGTAGGGGGAATAATTTGAAATATCCACACCAAATATCCATACCACCAAACTTATTATCGACAAGAAAGTCACTTCTATAACCGTTATACCATATTTGCCCACCAGGTGGCAGTGTATGCCAATCAAAGTTTAGGTGTCACAACACAAACGACATAGATCAGCAACAACATTAAAAACAGACACACAGGTAACAGTAAAAGCATAATCTGTTTACAGTGCTGGGAAACCTTGGGACCTAGGATTCATATGATTTTTACTTTGACATATACCACCTACCTAAATTCCAATGTAGATCCCCCAATGTCATAGGGACTCCATGATGGCAGGGGCCTCCCCCAGCAGGACAACACACTGCCACACTGCAAAAACCTGCTCAGAAATGGATCAGTCAAGATCCACAGCCAACACAGCCAAGATCCACAGGCTTTGGCTTTGTTTTCCATACTCCCAGTCAGACTGAGCAACCGCAGGATTCCATAGAACAAGCCCAGTCCATAAAGGCCCAATGGACCCAAAGACTCTACTTGTGCCAGGCATCGGCGGACAGCCCCAGAGGTCCTGTCTCCATGCCCAGACAGTGAATGGAGGATTTAACAACACTAAATAAGATGCTGTTGATGTTGTGGCTGACTGGTTTACAGTAATGACTGCTGACATTTGATCACCCTTTTTTGTTTTTTTCTCACTATCTTATCATTAAGGGTAATCAGAGCCATGGAAAAGCTGACATTTAAACAGCCTTTAGGTTCCTTGTTTGACTGACAACTGTTGTTATATCACTGCTGAAATACAAGGGGATTTTTGCCCTGACTTTCCCCAATGCTGAATGTCACTATTTATTCTTAGTTTGTAATGAACAGCTTATTCATGAGCACATTTGGCTAAACCTTAAAAAATTCCAAGAGTCTCCACTGTGCAACGATAGTTTGCTATCTTTACTTCTCTGTTGAATCATCCATCAGAACGAGACAAAAAGATTGAAATAATCAACAGTTTGTTTTAGTCTAGCCCTTCTTTTGAAAATATACAATCTAACCTCTAAAAAGCACACAGACGCAGAACAGTGCACCACACAGCCCTGCCCTGTTGGCTCCCAATGCTTTGAAATTCACTTTTCTATTTTTAAACCAGCTTGTCTCAAGTGGTTCAGTTCTTTGACATGGTTTGGCTTACACCTTTTTATCCACCAGGTAAATGTGGTGGGCATTCGATGAAAAAAAAAACTTTATTGACATATCATCACTGCCTCGGTTGCAGACATCGCAGTGTGACAGGGGTAATGCTTCCAAAGTCAGTTATTAAGCATGTTCAGTTCCTGGCTTCCTGATGTGGACAGAAGTCAGCTCTGTTAAACAGCAGATGTTTTACACTGCGGCCGTTACCCTCATTTCCTGGGCGGAGAGCTGCTCGCTCTAATAGAGTAACAGGAACAAGAGAAAGAGAAGAGCTAGAGGGGGGGAGAGAAAGAGGCAGAGCAAGGCAAAAGAAGTTATCTAAGCTCAGAGCTCCCACAAATCACTTTGTCACCAGCAAGCTCTGACAAGCAGGAGGAGAGAGAAAGAGTACGAGCAGAGACTCCGAGTTAAACAGAGGTGCGAATAGGGAGTCTTGTCGGTGGAGCCTCGAAGGAAGAAGGTGTGAAGAAACTGTAGAGGAAAATAACGAGGTGATACTGCTGGATGGACAGAGGGAAGGTAGAAGAGAGACGAGACTAAAATCCAGTTCCCAAAACAGCATAAGTTAAGAGGGACGGCTACTGCTGTTGCTACTGCCGCTGTGTCTGGATGGTACATCACCATTTAAAGAAGGTGTGTCAAACTTAAAATCTGTTACCGGAGGACACTGTTTCATTGAGACTGACATTTTAATCTTCTGATAGCAAACGCGCTTGAGACATTTAATCTCACAAGTGGAACCCAGAGAGCATACACTATCGTATTATCATGTTTGAGAGAGAAGAGAGGGATAGAGAGACAGCTGCTCTGTCTGTGAAGTAGGCATGAGACAGAGGCGTTGAAAGCAATTTCTGGTGTAGTGCAGCTGTACACAGATCACATGTTGTTACTAGTAAAAAGAGGTAGTTAGAGCCAAGAGCAGTACATGTTTGTGAAATGTTTTTCTATAGGGGCATGCGCAGGTTTGTGACTGGTATTGAATAAGTTGATGAAAGTAACTTCTTTGAGAACAATTTCTTTCTTTTAACCATTGATATTTGATTAGCTCCGGACTGACTAAAAGCGCCTGAGAGTTTTATCTGGACTGTAAAGGCTGAGGTCATCTCACCAAACCTAAAAAAAATAGGAAGATCATTTTCAAACTTTTTAAGCAGAGACTATTATTAATACTTTCTCTTTATTACAGAACATTACAGGGGAAATATTTGTCATTAGCACTAATAAGAAATTGTGCCGATTTAAACGTCTTAGTCTTAGAGAACAAGTAACTTAGGCTCTGTAAACACCTGTCTTCATTTTGCTGAGTGCCATACTACTCTTTTCACATTCACTTAGGTTGCCTCTGTAAGAAAGACTGTGGTGACATGTGGAGGATGATATGCTAGCTCTAAAATAGACAGGATTCAGTTTATATAATAACATAATATAATCTTGCATTTGGAGGTTTGAAAACATATCAATCAAACATTGGTCTGTGAGCACAGAAACAAATCTGCTGAATCCTTGATGGGTAGTAGTTTGTTTTGGACCTAGAGGTGTTGTAGAAACTTACAAAAGGGCACTGACTGTGTGCAGGGGCTCTTTTAGCATTTGACAGCTCTGTTCTGGACTTGCTTCATCCTGTGGGACGTAACTGGGTTACCTGTTTGGCTGAGTCAGAGGCTGGGTCATCACTGGATGTCTGTCTGCTCACTGGGATTCTTTCCACCTGTTTCTATGCAAATAAGACAGATGTGTTAGGTACTTTTTACAGCAGCAGTGACAGCCGTGGTGGTGAATTTTCAGGACTCTCCACACTGCTGTAATTGTTTTGTCGTGTGTAAACACTTTGCGTCAGTGACACCTCTCCACTGAGTGATTCACTGTTCCCAAAGGATCCCCGGTTGGACGAAGGCATTGAAAGGGAAGTTGGAGGAGCTTTTACTAAGAACCAAAGAACACAAGTAGCTACACAGACAGGCTGTCAACATGAAATTGTGGTTCTTGATATTGATGGTCGTGTACATGGTGGGCAGTGTACACAATCTGTCTACATGTAACACTGTGGACTTGGAGATGGTGAAGAAAAAACGCATTGAGGCCATTAGGAGCCAGATCCTCACCAAACTGCGTTTGCAAAAGGCGCCAGAAGAGGCTGGGGAGAAGGAAGAGATCCCTGCCAACTTGCTATCACTCTACAACAGCACCAGTGAGATTCTGAAGGAGCAGCAGGTTCTGGAACAGGAAAACATCCCCACAGAACAAAAGGAGGAGGAATACTTTTCCAAGGTGGTTAACAGGTTCATCATGAAAGGTGAGTATAAAATTACCCTTAGCAGCAATATATAAATCTTGAATCTGTGAATCCTGATTGAATATTAAGAAAGGGGGCAATTCCTGATGGCTTAACTATAGTTGAATGTCAAGTAATGACTGTTATTTATGCTACTACATTTACAAGCTGAGACATAATTCAAGGTGAACACTAGCATTGCACTGACACTTTCCACTCTGAAAAAATAGTTATTGTCCAGATGTCACATGAAGTGCTGCTGTTAATCCCTCCTCTACGGCAATACTGCGGTAATAATGTTGTTATTACTAGCAGAAACATCACAATAGCATTGTTTACAGTCCCCCTGTACAGTCCGTACTGCTCTTTGTCTGGTTGATCAACACTAATATTAAATATAGTGCACACAGTGCTGTCCAGAAGTTTCAAGCTGCACTCCCAAGTATTCACTGTATGCCTTATGGCTGGTGTCAGTTCCAATCTTGACCATAAATTCCCTCAACACGTGTAACCCTTATGATCTCCACCAAAGATCCTGAGGCAGTTTCAGGGGTTCAGAGATCACAGGCATTACAAGTTAGCAGAACTCTGTGCAGCATCTGGTCTGATGCTGTGTTGCTTACATGATATCCATGGCATTTTTACTGCTTTATTACTGCTCTTTGTCTGGCAAGGCTGCATATGATGTTTGTTCAGCCAAATGGTTTCTGGCTGTAATTGCCTAATGATTCCCAAACTATTACGATAAACATATTTTCTAGCTTTGCTTTTATGCTCCATTGTTCTCTGCATGTCTATACTCATCACCCTATCAGGCAGCCATCCACACTATCCCCCTTTTATCCACCACTTCAAACAGCACACTTTAGTGGATGGACCATGCTCGGGAGTGTGTAGACCAAAGAGAGAACAAAGCAACCTTCAAAATGAAGAGCACAATTTTGTTCTGCTTAGGTAACAACCAAAGAACAGGATGAAAAGTAGAAAAGCAATAGGAAGAGACATGAAATGAACTCCTTCACCCATGCTTGCTCTTTTTCTCTTTCATTTTCTCTTTTTTCTTTCTCTCTGACTTTGACCCTCAGGGATTGGGGTTTTCCTGTAACTTGAGCACTGAGTTCTCCCTCGCTTAACCTGTCACTTGTTCTCCATCACTTTTGCTTCTCTTTGTCACTGACTAGTTTCAGTGTGTCCCTTGAACCATGATTATCCATATTGCGCTCTCTCTCTCTCTCACTTCTTTCCTTTGCACTCCTCTATCTGCGGGTTTCCTGAGCTTATTATATCAATGTGTTTGCAGTGTGTTTGTGACAGGGCAGCTTGACAGGAAGGAAGACAGGCTGATGGCCACTGAGATCTTGAATGACTCAGGTCCGGTGCAAGCGGTGCCCATGGGGAGCATGTGTTTCCTATAGCTCTGGAATGCCACAGAACACCCATCCACTGCCTTAACTATCCGCTGCCTTGTTTTGAATCAGCTAATAGGGGAACAGCTGAAAGTAGCTGCCCCCTTACTCACAAGGGGTCACAACAGCATGTAGCACCACATATTTGATTTGGCAGGTTTTTATGTCGGATGCCTTTCTGGGAGGAGACACAAGGGATTTGTCTCCTCTTGGGATCAAGCTAGGGATTTTGCTGTTTCAATCCTGGGAGGTTCGCTTGCTAGGGGAATGCGTAAACCATTACACTATGGAGCCACTGTTGAGTCAACCTCTGCACACTGAAAAAGGAGAATGACAAATGTATGAGGATAAATGTTAAGGCCATCAAGTACTGCTTTGCAATTGTGAATTTAAAAAAAGCCACATATACACACACGCAAGGATTTTATCCAGCTTCTGCTTTTCTGTAATAAGTTATTTTTATTTCCATTAACAATTCTTTTCTACATCTCATTTTTATTGGGCAGCAGACACTTTCCTGACTCTCAAAATCATTCTACGGGGGAAACGTATTTGTGTGCAGAGCATTTAGAACATAATAGGTTTGGTCTTCATCGTGGTAATTGTGTGGTAGATTAAGCTGAATTCCTTTTGCTGTTTAGCACTCATATATCTCCCTTGAAGCCCACACAAGTTCGCCTCCTATTAAAAGGAGTTTTGGTCCAATTTACACGAGGGAACGCTTTTCTCATTTGGAAGCTAGCCACTTTGTGCTATTCTGGGATGAAATTAGTTCACTTCTCTGAAGTAATTATTGTAGTTACAAGTAAATGAACTTAAAGCTGTATTGTAGAAAGGAGCAGCAACAAGGGACCAAAGTCAAGTGTGAAATAGGGTGAAGTGGGGAAACAAGACATTGATGAGGGGGCTGTGGGAAGGTGGAGCTGAGAGGGAAGAAGGCCAATATTTAGTCAGTTGCTGGAATCTGGTTCCTCCTACTGGTAATTATAGAGCTGTTACTCAACCTGTCACAACAGCTGTCCCCGGCTTACCTGTGGATAGGCCTTGATTCAACACACAAATCCCCCCACACCCACATTTATATGCAGGCTAGGATGCTATCTCTACCCCGTCTAGCAGAGAGAGATTTTTTTAGCTGAGCATGGAGCTCATTTCTTACACTTTCTACTCTAAATGTTGATTAATTTTGATCACAGAGCCATTTCAGCGAAAAGGACCCTAGAGACAATGCAAACTCTGTTAATTAAAAAGTAGAAGTGAAGATAAAGCGTCAACATAATTATGGTGCAGCAGCCAATATGCTTCTTAGGGGAAGTGACTTAATTTCCTGTTTTGCAAACACTTCTCTAACCCTTAACACATTTATCTCACTTTTCTCAAACTAGATGGAGACTCTGACTTTCCGTGCATGCGTTTGCCTGGCACACCAATTCCACTTGACATACTGTACGTTGTTGTGACCGTCTGTGTTTCCATTCATACGCTTCAAACCAAATATTTGACTGCTCTGGGTGGTACCAGTAAACTGTCATCTCATTTCCCGTTACACTCCACATCAGTTCTTTTTGGTTTCAGTTCGGCCTCACTGCAAGGGGTGAAACACTACCTCAGCCACTATGCAGATGGTAGATGATATACAAGCAGCCGTGACATGGAGTATCCTGGTACAGCCTGGGCTGAATATGTAGCACAAGTATGCAAGGCTGGGTTGCAATTCCTATCAGAGAGTAATTCCCGGACTTGAGAGCAGAGAACCCTTGCTTTGGCAGGCTGAGACAGAGTAGAGGGTTTGGGTCCCGGCCAGTACTTGCGCTCCATTGATACACATCTCCAATTTCTCCACACCCCCACTCACACCCTCTCACCCCTCACAACTGTGAGTTATATTCAAGAGTGCATTCTTCCCTGTGCTGTTTCCTTACCATTGTGTTTAACAGTTACATTGCCCCTCTCTGAGCCTCTCACTCGCTTTCTATAGTGTTTCACTCTTGATCTTCTGCCTTCCTGTGCTTATCTTTGCATGTCACTGTTCGACTTAATCTTTTCGATCGTAACACTCATACATTTATGGTGTTAAAGCCCCCAGTAGCTTGTCTCTGTTTTTTATCAAGCCCTCTAGGCATCTTCATGCTATGATTAAACTGTAAAAGAACAAAATATTCATGTTGGTCAACTTTAGCAACAGCTGGAAGAGATGAACACTTGGCTGCAGTTATGATCATTGAGTAACACTGAGCTCAGCCATTTTATTTGATTAATGTGTAATCCTGACAAGCACTTATGAAAGAAGCCTTTCATTTACTTTATTCATAAAAAACATTGATATACATCTAAGTGTTGTAATGTTTACTAAATATCAGTGTTGTTAACAGTTTAGAAGTTAAAAGTTGTAATTAACTTGGCTTTATTTGGAAAATCTGAACCCGCTAATTCCAGAGACCCGATGTTTTTGAGCCATATGTCCATTAATTCTAACCTTACAATGCCCAGTCATCCCTTTAAAAATCATAGTTCTTTTCTTTGTGTTTACAGATATTACACTAAAGACCATTTACCAAATACAGTAACGATAGGATGATTTACCAAATAAGCTCTAGGAGAGGTCTCACAAAAAAAAAAACAAGTAAAGATTCATGATTAAAAATAACCAAAATGTGTAACGAAAAATGAGTAAATCCTAAACACAAACAGAAAGTTTTAATGCCAAAACTTGTTGCCTTTGCCTAATGTTAATGAATTCAGAGGAAAATGGCAAAATGAGGGAGAGCAGAGAAACCGCAGAGGTGTAGAGTGAAGGTTTTTTGGGACTAGCTCACATCTAAGCATTTAAATATGCTAGTGCAGTGCCTTTTAAAGTAGGTCATAAATCATCATAACATTACTGTATTAAAAAGAGATCAGCTATAAGGTTCAAACGTGTTTGAATGATTGCATACGTTTAAAATGTGGTAGACAGGCAGATTGTGGGTTGCAGCTTTCTTGAGAACTGCACATTTAAGTACCAAGAAGTTGTCTGTCACAGGAAACCACAGACAATAATCATCATATAAAGTTAAATTGAAAATTGAAAAAAGGTATTTTGTGAGAGCCTTTTAAGTTTTAAACAAGGAGTGATGACATTTAGTAACATTGTGGCTTATTCTTATTTTATCACATCCTACGAAAAGGCAGTTTGAGGGTTCATTCTTGGCTTTATGCTTAAAGTTATAATTAAGTTCCTGTTAGGGTAAACTTGGCCTAGTTTGAATGGTTCAACGGAGAGGTCAAAGGGTTGGCAAAGGTAGCCAAAGAAACATGCCTCTTTTGTACATATGTGCCCCTCCCCCTAAATACAGAGTGGAGCAGCAGTCACTGTAGGAGAAAGACTGTTAGCAGAGAGCAAAGCACAGAGAAGGCCTCATCTGAACAACATCAAGTTTAACACTGCACCCACTTGGGTTTGCAGCAATACAAATGCCATGTTTAAAGCAAGTTTGATACGGAGTTATTGAGACAGTCAAAGAAAAGATTTCTTGGAAGTTCTATGTTGTGCTGACTGACATTCGGTCCTGGTCCAACATTTAAACTGTTCCACATTAGCTTTCTTTACATTTTTCAATATAATAATAACTTCTAATAGACTAAAAACACATTACAACTAGCTTTTAATAAAAGACAGTTTAAAGTACATCTACCATGAAAGTTGGTTCCCTTCTTGATGGATGAAGTTCTTTTGAAATATTGTACCACAAGATACACATGAGATGTACATCTGCCCATTAAATGCACTTAGATGGGTTGTTTGTCAAAATATCAAAATATAATTTCCTCTTTTTACATCATACAGAAAAAAACGACACCAACTACAAGCCCACGGTCATCTCAATGAGCTTCAACATCGCTGAGATACGGAGTAACATCGGGGGCAATCTGCTACTCACCAGAGCAGAGCTACGGATGCTCATCAAGGAGCCCATGATTTTGTCTGAGGAGAGAGTGGAGCTATACTATAGCCAGGGGACCTCGACTCGTTACCATGCGTCTCGCTTTGTCACAAACTCGCTGAAGGACAAATGGCTGTCCTTTGATGTCACTGAACCTCTGCGGATCTGGCTCCAAGGGAATGGTGAGATAAGCATTTATTTTTACTTCATGTATTTGTCGATCTTTCCATTTATTTAGTTCAGCCCATGTGTGATATAATTTCTAGGTAATATTTCCCTCCTCCATGATTTTTTTCTGTTACTAGAGAATGAACAGAAGTTTGAACTTCGGCGGTACTGTGAATGCGGCAGTGACGATGGTACTTTAAGTTTTAGCATCTCTGGGACTATGAGCAGGAGGGGAGACACTAAAGAATTACAGAAGCTGAACCAGCAGCTACCCTACATCTTTACCATGTCCATCCCTAAAACCAACCACTCTCAGAGTTTACGCACGAAACGTTCCACTGACACGACGGACAGCTGCAGCACGTAAGCAATTCTGACCTTAATGATTTATTCCACTCCGTTTCTGCTTTAAAGCTGCAATAGTAACCTACTAAACCACGAGCAGCTTCAAAATACAGACCACTGAAACAACAAACATCAACTATCCCTGTTTATCCATGCTGTAATTCTGTGGTCGTTTTAGTGGCTGTATAATAAATGGACTGTAGCTTTAAAATGTTTTATAATCTTAGACAGATTACAGTGTGCCTCTCATTTACCCCCACACATATACACAAGATGGAGTATACCTCCAAGGCCCAGCCATAGGGTTAAATGGAGTGTAATGTTGTCTCCCAACATAACATGTATCCTCTTACAGCTTTAAAACTGACTTGATTTCAACACTCTTTGCACCATATCATCTTCACACTGTTTTCTCTTTTGCAGCCAGTCACACAACTGCTGTTTGAAGAAACTGTACATTGACTTCAGGAAAGATCTAGGATGGAAGTGGATCCATAAGCCAACGGGTTACTATGCCAACTACTGCATGGGGTCCTGCACCTATATCTGGGATGCCGAAAACAAATATTCTCAGGTAATGTGTGCATTTTCATGAGTGTTATTTCTTCCGAACCCCAGGAGGCAATTTCTTAAAGTCTGGAAAAAATGTTAATGGCAATGTTGTATTTATATGTTGCCATAATAATTGTTGATGATTCAAATAAACCAAAATGCGAAGACTATTTGCATTATTTTAGCTCTAAGCACTACGGCACTAGGACTATCTGAATTTAACTGGTTATATAAAACTCTGGTAGAGACAAATCCCACTCAGAAGGAACACCAATGGTTTTATGAGAAAAACAAAAACACAAATCCCTTGCAGGTTGCAGGAAGGGGATGTGGTGTGAAAAATCTGCCAAAAATCAGTATACACAGAGCTACCTCATGCGGTGCCCCCTCATCAGTAAAGGAGCAGGAGCTTTGTTTGTGCCAAACCTGATTAGGTTAGGGCTGAAATGATGACAAAAACTTTGTCTCACTGATGTTTGACAAAATAACAGGTATTTGTTTCTGGTTGTCTTTACTCTTTTAAAAAGCCAAATATCCTTTTTATGACCCTTAATACTTTTAACACTTTCCACTCTTTGAGGAAACTCTGGCTCTTTCAAAAATTTGTGCAAAAATGTCTTTAAAAAGTAAAGTATTGTAGTTTTCATTAAGATTTTTCTAAAATCACACTGAAAATTCTTAGAAATGTTGTGCTTATGTATTACATTTGCTTTGGACCATGTTGTCTTGGTGAGCAAATTCTCATAAATCTTGCCTACAGATTCTGGCACTGTACAAACATCATAACCCAGGAGCTTCTGCCCAGCCCTGCTGTGCGCCACAGACACTAGAGCCACTGCCAATCATCTACTATGTGGGGAGGCAACACAAGGTATCTATACTGCAGTCACTTTCAGCTCAAATGTTTGCAAAACATTTTTTATGTGAAAACAATATATAATTGATCACATCACTGTTTTTTTCTACTTGCAGGTGGAGCAGCTGTCCAATATGATCGTGAAGTCCTGCAAGTGTAGCTAAAAATATAGTATGGCTCTGCCTCCTCCTCTCAAAACACAGAGGGAAAGAAGATGTTGTGTTGGAGACTACAGATAAGAGCAAGTGACAGAGAATTTGAGATAATGTGGACATGGGGAACAAAATATTTTAAAGCTTTTCTCCCACAATCCTTCAGTTGTCACATTTGATGCACATTAAGCCATGGACCTCTTTTTTTCTTTCTTCTACATATTAACGATTATAGTTTTTATACGTACATTTACCTTGCAGTAGTAAAATTGTCTGTCTTGAAATGAATTAATTTATTTGTTGCACTGACAGGTGTCTAAAGAATAATAATGTACATAAAAGAAGTGTGTGAGACAATAAAATTTGGACAAAAAAGCACGAGGACAATAATGAACGTTCATGGAAGAATAACGATATTCAGGGATGAAAACGTGGGACATTTCAGATGGCCACATCATCGTCCAAAACAGGTCCTGGTGA